TTGGCTGGCCACTCCCTATGCTATATATTGTAAATATCAGTTCAGATAGTATACCCATCATTGATGTTCCTGTTAAAGTTAAAACCAGGTCCAATTTTTGAAGCTCTTACACCTTATCAGAGTGTTGTCCCAGGTTGTACATATAAAATATAGTGCAGTACACTTTACATCTATATGAATTAATGCTCAATGGAATTAGTAATTTTTGAAGTTTAATATCCCAAGCCTCAGTCCTGCAAAGGGTTGCATGGAGGTAGACTCTTGAGCCAACACAGTACTCCACTGAAGTCAGTGAAGGTCTGCATGGGTGGAGGTGTCTACTTATATACATTTGTTTAAAAAAATCAGAGCCTTAGTGCTTTTCCTCCTACCAAACGTAACCAGCTAGATATACTATACACTAGCGACTTGGCACTTTGATCCTTTTAAATGAAAGGTGTTGGAGGTTCCATAAAAATATAGAGGAGAATCCAAAACAACTTTTGCGTCAGTCTTCCAGGTTAAAATCAACTAAGCAGATTTTACAATATTACCAGATTTTTTTTTTTTTGCCGGTGGGCAGAGACCTTGTATATCAGATTTCAGTCAGATAAAGATCTTTTTGTTAGTTTATGTACTCCAAGAAAATATGTTTTTTTAATTATAAAAACAACTTGTAGTACTTTATAGTGAGAAGCAATAACTTTGCATGAGAGTTGGGCACGCAACTGGCATTTGAGCCCTTGGAAATCTCTCCCACTGTTATAATCACATAGGAACAACTGAATAGTGGAAGTATGCGGGTGCATTTTAGATGGTAAGAGTATTCATATGTAAGCATATTTCTAAACAAATAGAATTTATATACATCAATACAAATATTAAGCTTTGATAAATTCACAAAAGTAATTAATTCAGATTTAAAGTTTCCTTTTTGTCCTTTAATTCATCCCAGCATACAAAAGGCCTTTAAAGAATATCTTACATGCTACATTGCCTGTAATGTATCAGTAAAATAGAGGAGGAGCATGAATTATGGATTAAGTGAACCTTAAAGGTGAACCTGTATTAAAATTGAAGTGGTGCAAAAGGGAGAAAAATTGTGAGAGAAACAGTGCCTATGGAAATACAGACCTTATCTAAATGTTAATTATTTTTATTTCTTAAAGGTATCACCTCAGTAGGTTTTAAAGTAACTTCTCTACTGAGTGAAAAATCCAGAAGGGATAAGCTGTTTGATTTATGTCCCAGTTGCTAAATATAAACATTACTGTAAATTGTCTTGTTTGTCAAAAGAATGACAATGCTGGTTCTGCTCATTTTTAATGTTGCTGATGAATGAATGTTGAGTGGCTGGTTGTTGCTAGGATCTTTTCAATGTTATTTTTATAAGGTTTTTGGTTTGAACTTCCCAAAAATTGGTAACTATGTCATGACGATCATTTCACCCAGACAAAGCTATGTCAAGATTCCTCAAAAGTGGACTTACATTCTGCATTTTTGGAGGGTAACAAGATTATAGTCCTCTGTGGTATGCAAACACCAGATATTTTAAAATTTCTGGCTCAAGTGGGACCTTTCTGAATTGACACTAGTGAATGATGACTTAATTTAAACCTGATTGGACCAAGCTGCATGGTTCCAAAACAAGCCTTACACCTGATTTGTCTGAAGGTCTTGGGGAGGGAGGCGCTGCAAGGTGGAGTGAGCAAAGCTTGCAAACCATAATAATTCAAGAGTAAGGCCTGAGAAGCTTTGCTTTTCTTGTCAACAAACTACCCGAGGGAAGACTAATATTCCAGTGTCCTTAAGACTGATCACCTCGGGAAAAGGAAGTCACAACATCAACAACTAGGGCATTCCACCCTTTGACCAGTCTCTCCCTGCACCTGAAGGAGGCCCACTAGCAAGAACTACTATGCCAGTGGAACAACACTGTCTGGCTCTTTGCAGTTCCAGCTCCTGCTCTACAAGAGCCCAGAACCCTATGAGTGCTAAAGAGCATGCAAACCTCCTGTTATCTTAAGCATCGTTTCCCCCTTTTTTTTATTTTTGTCCTTTCTTCTCATTAGTCAAGAGACACGCCTGCCCTTTTCTTCTGTAATTTTAGGGTGTGAAAGCATAGTGTATATTAAAACCTGTAGTGTCTACACAGGGAAAGGGCTAGAAAGTAAGTTCCCCTGATGTCAACAGCCCTAAACATAGTCTCTTAAGTATACTCATTAACGTGTACCATAAGTATTTAAAAGCCCTAAGGAACTTTAAGTTGTCAGCTGTAAACTGATAAACAAAAGATGTAGAACTGCTGCTTATCAGGGTGTTCTTTTAAAGCCCATTTTATAATATCTGTTGGAGGAAGGTGAGGAAAGGGTTAGCCACCACACAAGAACTGACTGAAATCTATGGAAGATTGGAAAGTGGCTCTGAGGTTGTGTTTCAGACTTTAAATAATAATTGTTTCCGTAGCAAAATCTTTAACCAGCTCCAAGTTATAGATTCAATTTGGGTAAAATTCTTTAAATTAGGGTTTATAAGTAAGGCATGGGTATTTTTGGCATGGGTATTTTTATTAAAAGTCACGGACAGGACGCAGGCAATGAACAATAAATCATGAATTTATTGAGAAGCCCGAGCCTTCCGCCGCCTGGGGCTGAAGATCAAGCTCCACTGCCACCCAGGGCTGAATTATTGGAATTTTCAAGAAGTCACAGAGGTCTTGTAAAATCACAGAATCCGTGACAGATTCATAGCTTATAAATAAGGCTATCTCCCGAGATCCCTTCTTAGAATGCATAAGGATAATTTGTTGTATTAATCTGATGATTTAATTTGAAGATTTAATTCCAATCCAGTACTGAGACTAATTTGTTGATTTATTGATCTGATAGATGTATTGCTTTCCTCTTAGTTTAGTTTAATATTAACAATACTTTGGCTTTGGTTGTATGCTTTCTTGATTTTGTTTAATAATTTTTAAAACAATATTTATAAAACTGATATTGAGGCATATTTTTTTCAATAAGCAACATAGATCCAGAACCTTTGAGGACCTAAAAGCCTGACCAGCTCCCCTGAATTAGCTGTTGGTTCTCTCACAGTCAACTTAATCCCATTTCTGACTGAATTTTTATTTATTTATTACTGTTATTAAACTGGGTGGTTATTTGTCTTTCCATCTCAGAGCAAAAATATTTCTCTATTTTTTTCCTGTTTACTTTGTGCATTTGACACCATTTTTTGCATAGTCAGCACTTTGTGTATTCACTATCTTCCTAGTAATCTTGCAGGCCCCAATCCCGCAAGGAGCAATCTACACAGGAAATGGGAGGCAGATAATTTTTTTTCCTATTAGCTGGTTGTTTCTGCTAACATAATCAGTATATAATTAATGCTGATATTGAAATTGTTTCTAGGTCTCAAGAATTAACATCTCATTGAGATGAATGGGCAGTTTACACCTCTGAGCTAATATTAGGACAAAAACACTATACCAATTTATGCTTTGCAAAAAAAACCACCTTGAAAATGTTTTTTTCACACAAGGGCTAGAAACACTTTAAAAATGAATGATTAGATTTTGGAACAGTTTTGCAGAGGAAGGAGTGGATTCCAGGATTTTGGAATATACTGGGCCCTGTTCATGTTACAGCCTGGTTAGTGAGTGCATTCAGTACATACTGTATTTCTGGGCTCAACTCAGTTTTCATGTTAGATTTGTAATTTACCCTTCAAGAAAAGTGTTTTCCTCTAGTGAGTTTGTTATGTTAATGTGGTTCTTTGTATTTAAAAGGTCACTATCTTCCTCATTTTTTGAAATAACTTTAATTTATGTTGTTAGTAATTTAGGCCCCAGACTGAAAACACTTATGGATGTGTATAACCTTACTGAAATCAGTCAGACTACTTACTCAGATGTAGAGCTGAGCAAATCATTAATATTTTGGTCATACTTCCAAAACTTTTTTTCATTTTTTTCCCGGCCAAAATGATTTGCTGAATTCAACCAAAATTCATGAATAGTTATTCACCTCTGAAAAATTTTTGCTGAAAAAATTTCATCCAGTTCAACTCACATACATGTATGAAGGAACATAGTCTTTAAAGTTTACATTTTGCAATCACATTTCTCCTTTTATGCAACTTTTTTGGTTGGAATCTATGAAAATGCAAGGTTTTTGATGGCATTTTAATTGTTGCATTCCCATTTATCAGCATGGTTTACCTATGTTTGTACCGCTCTGAAAGGCTATATGTGACAGTTTTTACCTTCTGAGATAAGAATATTAAATGTAATGAAATTATGTTAACTGTATTATATAAATATAAATAAAACATTCGAACTCTGACATAAGAATTAAAACAATTTTTAAAAAAGGTACTATTCATGTCCCATGAAATTTTGGCCATCTTCCATCCAAGTCCCTCTACTTCTCCTTCTAAGTCTAGTCTGCCACTTGCATTTTCTGATTTCCCTCAACTTGGATTTCATTCTGCATTTACTATTTACCATCTTGCAAACCCAAGTTCAGACCTACTGCTCCCCCTATCCGGATCACAAAAAGCTCCCCATTACTCATTCTGCAAATTTAGATTTCCAGTCAACTTACCTCCCATTAACAGAAATATCTTCGGGGGAGCTGTCGAGTGCTCCATATGAGTCAGATCTTCATAATGGCAGGACTGGAAAATATGGGTCATCAGGTCTCCTCTACGATCTGCAGGATCACCTGGAAAAGACAGTGCTAAGGAGATCCCATCAACCGAAAAATAACATCAGTCTGAGCCCAGCATTCTGATAGCAGCAGCGGAATCTTAACAGGATAAGCCCAGGCCAGGTCCCCATTACTAGTGGTAGGATATTCTACTCTCAGTCTTCAATGTGGGAAGGGCTCCATGAATCAAATCCCACAGCCTACTCGAGGAAACAGTTGCTATTATTCATGAGCATGCACATTTTGTAATGTATCTACATCCATGAAAAAAATAAACAAACTGCTAGGTTAAATAAGAGACCTCTGTATTATGATTTCATTAAAAGGACACTTAAAAATTTACAACTTAATGACAAAATGTAAGCTATCAGAAAATTTTGGAGTTACTCGTGGCATGAATGTTTAAGAAAAGGCAGCATAATACCCCAAAGACAAGACTTCTTGTACAACAGTTACTTTCAAAGTAGGCAACAAACTGAATATTATTTTCTTATTTATGTAAACAGGATACTGAGTTTAAGATAAAAACCATAATTGACACACAAGTGCCTAGCAATAGGAAAGAATCTGGAACCGCCGTTCTTAAAAAGAAACTACTTTCTTGCTGATTACATTTAATGATTAGAACCCCCTGAAAGAAAAGTACATTTTGGAAATCTGCAGAAGGTTGGAAGTATCCAACCATGATCAGTCATATTCCAATACTCACGCTAAAAAAAGTAAATTTTATAAATATCTACAGTATTTAATAAAGAAGTCCAAACCAAGACAATACTCGTCTACATATTTAAGTTCATCACTTAAAATAAAGAAAAAGTGAATAAGTACTGTACAAGTATTTAATTTGCTCTCATCCAGAAAACAGAATTAAGTTCTTCTCTTTTAAAGTGTTTGCAATTCTGTCAGTGACATGAAATTTAGTTATCCTTTGAAGACAAAAGACTATCAAACCCTTTCTGTCTGTTGGGAAAGGAGATACTGTAACACGATGGTTTAAAGAAACAACATGTTAGATCAAGGCAAGTAAGAGTTAACATTTAAATGGTTAAATAAGAAGATAGGTGACTTGTACCCCATCAGTATAAATCGGTGCTTCTTTTAGCGTCTGGATTAGTACATGTTTTTAAAAAACAAACTGGTATCAGGAAGTTATTCTCATAAGATTTCCTGTAAATTCTTTGGCGCCATATGCTCTTAGGAAGTAAAGTATAAAGGAAAGTGAATGGTTACAAGTAACTTAATAAATGGTACACAGATAAATATCATACAGAGATTAAAAAGCAAACATAGTGAAGTGCAGTACTTGCATGAATAAAGTTAGTCACAACATCCCATTTTTACCTCACCATAGAAGACTGTAGACTAAAACTTCAGATTTTCTTAGATTTACAAATATTCTAGTACATCCTAGTGGCACTTCTTGGCCCACTAAAGAAAAGTACAAACTAAACATATTAATATACCAGTAATTTCACATGACAATGTTATCACTTTTGATTATTACATATCACCTGCAATCATATTTTAAGAAGAGTGATCACGTTCATAAACTGTTCATACAAAGAACAGCAAGGCCGGCTGTATCCCTATATGGAATTTTAATGATTTTAAGTTCGTGTCTCTCTTGAAGATATTTTGGAAGCAAGTATGAAAGCAGATATTCATGTCAGTTTTCAGAAATTGTTTATGGGTTGCAGTGATTTCAGGAAAATGGTTAATTTTCTTCCTGCAGCATTTCCTCTATTTCTTTGTCCCAGTTATCATCACGTTTTTCTGATTCTGTCACCACTTCATACTCTTGAAGCTCTTGCTGTAATTCCTTCTCCCAATCAGCAGTCTCTTCTACAAGGAAGATAAATGATATATAATACCTAGTTTGGCAGTACAGAATGTTGTTCATGTATAACTAGATTAATTTTCATTGAGGCTACCTGTCTTGCATTCCAGAGTTCTGGAAGCTCATGAATTTCATCTTTGGAACAACTGTGGATGAAAAACTAATATACAGAGGGATACCCCAGAATATGTTATTATAAAGTATTGATGTAATAATGGACAAATATTTACTATATTTGATGTTTTCTCCACCTCAGTGTAACCCAAAATGTCTACCCGTAACTAAAGACAAACTGATTTTTCAAACTGTCTATAAATAGTGTAAATTCAATCAAGTCTTCCTCTCTGCTGTCAACCCCTCCCCACCTTTTCTTACAGAAAAAGAAAGAAAAAGAGCTATGCTATATGAAAAATGCAACACACCTTATAGTTAATGATTATCCATTATCAAATGTTACCAGCTTGTGGAATTCATTGGTTTCAAAGATCAAAATCCAATACTATGGGTAACTGAAGGAGGGATGGACAATTTTATTTCCATTAAGATATATAGCTAGGCAAGCTAATATAACAAGGGATAAAAATAATGAACTTTCATACTTCAGGGCAAAAGAGGAGTCAGAAGCCATTCCTGTGTTGCCACCCTTCCCTCAAATTGACAAGGTCAGTTATGAGAAGAAGCCTGGGGTAGAGGCTTGCATTTGAAGTATTAGGTATTGGCCAATGCTGGAGTCTGGATATCATAGGAGGTAATTCCATAGTCTCATCCAGTATTGTGAGTTAGCATTTCTACTAAATACACTATATATTGACAGCTTTATTAAAACCACTCAGCAAGAATTTCAATCAATTCAGGAAAATGCATATGAGTGTAATTTTAAGGTTAAACCTACAAACTATTAAATTTGGGGTTGCAACATCTTGCAAATAACTGATTTCAGACTAATATTCACAGCATCTGAACACTTGGACTACAATTCTACTCTAAAAAGTGATTATGTAAAAAATGGCAGATTACTTTATTGTGGTATATTCAACGTCACATCTACTAAGACTAAACTTATTTTTCTGCTTTTTACTTCTAACTCGACAGAGCCATGCTAAGACAACTGAATTCTTTTTCTTCTTGTTCATCATATTCAAAATTATTTAGTAACTTCTGATTAGTTAAATTTATGTAACTCCATTTAAGGCACCGGTATCACTGAAACCATAATCTGGATTGTAAAATCTTTACTATTGATGATGATGCACAATAAGGAAAATGCAGCTTGACTTTCAGATCCCACAGAGTTTTCAAGGATTGCAGTTACACAAAAAATCTTTTACTTACAATCAAGTATGTGAGCTGGGAATTAAGAAAAAATGAGAATCCCATCATTTTCAGTCATTTTATCATAGCAGAATTTCTTGTAAAGTTGTTCGTTTCTTCAGAACATTTTTGTTTTGTAACTAGTATTCCATGCAAGAGACTGCTTGAATGTCTTAATAGTGATTAGTCCTTTCTGCAGTGAGGCATTCCAGAAATAAATAGTCAAGCAAAACATGGGCTTTTCTACCATTTACTATGGTGCCATGATGATTTTTTGACTTGCCTGTCAAAAAGTTACTTGCTTAGTAAGAGTAGAATATTCCAAATCTAGCAAATCCTTACTGCCATCGTTTGAAATTCAGTAAACATCTACAGTTTTTTTTAAATTGCCTAGAATGAATGTAGTCAAATTTATAAAAAGCTATTTACTTTATTAGCTTTAATTTTTGTTTTACCTTCTACTATGGAGGTCTCCTTTTCCTTTTTGTCAAGCACCAATTGTTCCATTTCCTTCCTTAGGTCTTCCTGATTCAGGTTACATGCATCAAAAGCATCACTAACAAATTCTGATACACCTGGACTAGTGGAAATCTCTTCCTCGTCCTTGAATAAAATAAATTTTGATCATTCGAAGAGGAAAACACACTTGAAAATCATTACTCCATGTGAACTTCTCTTCTATAGCTTAATATAGTCAAATACAAATAAAAAAAAATCTATTTTGTCAATTACCATATCTTTCTGAACAGAAAAAAACCCGTTTGATATACATTTTGAAGAAGCGACTAATTTCCATGTTATATTTTTAAATTTTTCTAAGAATTGTAATTCAGTTTAGTAATCTCCAAAAACAGTGAAAAGATTAAAGTAATTTAGTAGTAATAAAAATGTTTATATTAATTGTGGAGGCAGTTAAAAAAATCAAAGACTGTCCATAAGAGGATGAGAGTTACAGTAGGATTGATCTCTGGAAACCTCTCCCCTGGGTTTTAGTTAACAGAATAGAATTCATTGGTCTCATTTCTCTAATGTTCTGTACTGAAATAAAGAAAAAGCTGTTGCTGGACTGCAGAATTAGATGTTAAACACTGAACTTTTTGGATATTTGTAAAGTAAGTTCTACAGTATTAAGATACATGACAATATTGGCAAAACCACCAATCTATATTTAAAATAAGTGTTACTAATGGTGTATTAAATGTTATTACTGCTTAGTAAATTTATGGCTCCAGCTCTGTCTGAAAGAATTCCCTGGCAACAATATTGCAATCCAAGATTAAGAATAATGTCTTTAGCTCTCCAAGTTATGACTTCTGCAGTGGCAAGCAAAATTGTTTTCAGTGTCATAATAAAATGGTGTCATAATGACAATGCCTATACTGTTAAGTCTTAGCATAAGTCTCCAGAAGTATCAATATTGTACAGATAAATATTTTATTCTGAAGCAAACCTGCTATCTCTAAATATAACAAAAAACCTCAAACTCAGTTTGTGTGATGATGCATTAAATGTAAATTTCATATACTGAACTTCAGATGTAGTATACAACCATTGTTACCTCTTGAGATTTTAGCTGAGATTTGATTGCAACAGGTGGTGTTTTGGGCCTTACTGTTTCTAGGAAGAGAAAAAAACGGAAATTTGATATATTTTATTATTCTTAAATATCCCCAGAACTAATTTAAACTATATAAGTATTAACTATGCAAGAAAATTTTCTATTTCAGGGGATACATTATATTTAAAGGTTACGTTCAGTTATGGGTGAAATATTTACAAAATAAGAATGAATTAACTAGAGAATGTTTTTTTCTACATTGATTCTATTTTTACAATGAAATTTAAGATAAAATTCTGTAAGCAGTTATACCCTTATTATTTCAGACTAAGGAAACTTTGGCTAAATCAAACTGAACCGCCCCCCACCAATAAATAAGTCAACTAAATAGATCAGTATCTGGGTGAGGCTTCCAGGCTTGTGATCTTCCTCACAAAGTCAATTTGAAGGTAAGATCCAAATACTCCCTTTCTGAGAGGATCTTAGCAGTCTGGAATCTAGGCTACGCCAGAACTCCAGGTCAACCTTGGGATTGGGAGGGGAAGAATGTTTTGGATCATAGCCCTTAGTATCTTGCAGTTATTGTCTAACATACCACCACCACAGAGGGAGACACTTGCAGCCCATGAAATGACCTAGTTTCTAAGGGTATGTCCAGACTACCCGCCGCATCGGTGGGTAGCGATCGAGGGATCGGCGGGTAGCGATCGAGCTATCGGGGATCGATATATCGATCCCCGAACGCACTCCCGTCAACTCTGGAACTCCACCAGGGCGAGCGGCGGTAGCGGAGTAGACGGGGGAGCCACGGCTGTTGATCCCGCGCCGTGAGGATGGGAGGTAAGTCGAAATAAGATACGTCGACTTCAGCTATGCTATTCCCGTAGCTGAAGTTGCGTATCTTACATCGACCCCCCTCCCCAGTGTAGACCAGGCCTAAGGTAGGGGGCCCTCATGCCCAGAGGGCAAAGATACCCAACGGTTGTGCTACACAGGGCTCTATTAATTCAGGTAAACAGCTTCTTTGTTATGGGCAAAATTTAATCTGAGAAAATCCTGGGTTCTGTACAAATAAAATATTAAGTAGTTTTGAGCCATAGCAGGTCCTAAGGAGAGAGAGGATAGATGGGGACAAAATGAGAGGCGATGGAGTGATCTCTATAAAAATGAGAGTTGACTTTGTGGAGAAACTTTTACCTGTGAAATATCAGGAAGGGCTATTTACAAGAAAGTGCTACTAGTTCTTCCAGCCTCCTAGTGTGGAAATAGCCTCAGAAAAGGTCAACTTAATTGAAAATCAAAATGGGAAAAGTGGACTCTGTGAAAACTCAAATTTATATTCCAACAAGGTGTGGTCTAGCAGCAATATTCTTAGCCACACTGAGAAATCTGGTGACTAGGATTGGGATCCAACCAGAAAACCCTCTATGGAATACCCAATGTTCTCCAGAGTGATGCCTGACCACTGAAAGGCCATTGAGCAGCCCCTTTATTTAACCTTAGCTAGAAGAACTCCAGCACATGGGAGACAGAGCAGAAGATGGATCTCTCCACTTTGCTGATAGGTAATGGGGTATTCCCCACTCCCCCTCCCACTTGTGGTGATGTTTTGTTTGCAGAAGTCTTTTTAGATTTCAGCAAGTTGCAAAGTGCCCTGTCTCCTATAGCCTTGCGAATTAAGGATTCTCTTTCAAATGCAAGTGTAAAAGCCTAGATCTAGAAAGTGGGCAGAACTCCTGCAACAAAGTAATGAGAAGTTGCAGGGCAAATTTAGGAATGAGGGTTCCTTACAGAACATAATTTTACACTGATACAGAAGATCAAGATTTTAAATCAGCAATTACTATTTCTATTGCACACTTTGAGCCTCCAGTCAAGCGTGTTAAGCACGGTACGAACAAAGATGACGACACAGACACTCCACCAAAGAGCTTATGATCTAAGACACTGTGTAAATTTGTTAAATGTCAGAATTATTTCTTTCATTTCAATTTCCAATTAATTAGCCATAATATTAGCAGTGATCCTCATTTGCTGAAGCTAGCTTTATGAAGCAGCAGGATATAGAAACAAAAATTAAATTAGACTTTTAGTAGTAACAAGAAAAGTGGAATCCAATAACCAGAGCACTCTGTGTATGAGCAATACTATGAAAGAGACTATCTGCAAAGTTTACATTTTGCTGAACCGGGGAAACTTTGTAAAAATCCAAACTTTATGCTATGTACAAGTTTAAAAAGTCAGTAGTAGGATTATAGCAGCATCTACAGTGGTAGGCAATATAAAAACACACAAAACAGAAGACTGTCTCTGCTTCCATAGAGTTCATAATATAATTTAAAACAAAATGTAATAGGTGAATGTAAAGAACAATCAGAAGGAAAAGGAAACAGAGGACAAGGGAAACAGCACTAAGAATGCACATTTATAGAGGCCAGCAAGGTTCATAGCTAGATGTTTGAGACTTCTTAAAAATAAAATAACCTGAAAAAAAAAAATCAACAAAATATATATGGAAGTGTCTACCAAACTATCTTCCCAGCAGTTGGCAGTTTCTCACAGGCATGATGGTAGGAGGATGGTAGGAGGAAGACTTGAAGAGGGATATAAAGGAATACTGTAGATTCACAGAGTAGTTCAAGGGCATATGCCATACATAAAAGGTGGTGTGGAAGAACTCTCAAAGGTTTTTGTGAGAGAAACAGATAAACAGATAATTGAGGTTAGTCTTCTTGGTGAAATGGAGAAGTGATGTGATAAGATGTAAGAGCAGGTAAGCAAGGGGATGCTTACACAAAGGGTATTAAAAGATAAAGACAAGAATCACTTGATGTGGCGGTGATGGAGTTAGTGGAGGGACATGTTCAAAGAGATCAACCAGGAAGATGATCTTAGTAACTGCATTTGAATGGACCTAAAGGGAGTCAAGATGGGAGATGAAGAGGCCCTAAGGTCTGGTCATGGCCTGGATGTATAGGGCTAGATGGAGGGGAGAGTCAGTAATACTACCCAGTTTACAAGCATTATTAACTGGGTAAATCATGATGATGTCAGTAATGGAGAAACAAGGAAGTAGGGAGGAATGTGGTACACAGTTTTGGCCATGCTAAATTTAAGTTGCTGACAAGACATTTAGCGTCATGCAGAGATACAGAACTGGATGGAGTGAGACAGGTCTGTATTGGAGAGGTAGATTTATGAGTCATTGGCAAAGAGAAGATAGTTGAAACCATTTGAGAAGATGAGATCACACTGAGAGTGAGTGTAGATAGACAAGAGGAGGAAGTCAAGGACAGATCTCTGAGGACCACCATGAAAAGTGCACACTGAAGAAGTGGTCACACATCTGAGAGAACAGAGCTGTGAAAGCTAAAGAGGATGAAGTTTCAAGGAGGAAATCATCATAAATGATTTTAAAAAGCAGGTTAAGGAGCATGAGTATGGTGTACGGATCCTGAGAACTGGCCAAGAGGGGATCAGGGACTTTGGTGAGAGCAGATTCAGCAAAGTGAAAAGAGTGGAAAACAGATTAGAGGGGATTCAAGGTTGGAGATGGAGGCGTTGAACTTCAGGCAATGGTTGTAGCTAGTGTACTCAGCGAATTTAGAGGTGAATGGGAGATGATAAGACTAGTTGGAGAGGAAGGTGGGGTCAAGGGTATCTTTTTTAAAGGATGCTTATCATATATAGAAAAATCAGCACCTATATTAAAAGTTTAGCTATGCAACATTCAAAACAGATTTTTTTCCTCAAAAACAAATTTAACAGAAGAGCTAGGTGGAATGTGTAGTAATACCTTAAACTAACTTTTTTTTTTAAACTGAGTACATCTTAATGCTGTATCTATACCTGAATCAACTTCTGCACTCTTTTGATGAAAACAGCCTCTCTTTAATTATACATAGAAAAGAGGGCAATATTTACAGTGAATCAGTAGATCAGATAAACTTAGAGGGTTTGGGGTTTTTTAAGAAGGACCTGTTTTTGAAACAACACTTTTTCAAGAAGCCTCCTATATATGGTACAAGTGAGTTGCAAACTAAAAAACATATAGGTCATCTGATGCATATAAATACTAAGAAGTGTGACAGAGTGGATTGTTCATAGTGAGCTGCTTATTCAAAACAAATACTTTCTGTACCTGTCAGCTGTATATCCTCTTTCCTGCCATTGTTCTCCTCCTTTCCTACCACTTGCTGTTGAGCCGCCAGTGCAGTGAGCTGTGCAGACTGTTTAATTAGGGAAACCCGGTAGAAATAATTTCTCCAAAAGACCTCCTCCTTTACACTAAAGAAAAACATAAATATAAGTTTTTATGACTACATAGCTTTAACAACTACATTTGATTTGTGGAAAGTTTACAGTTAGCCGCAAGCAAGGTAGAAAAAACAGAGGCACAAAGTTAAAGCTACTGTAGTCAAAGCTACAGTCATAGCTTACAGGAGTGAGAGCAGAGTTTTGTTTCCACCTTCTCAAGTGTGAAGTGTAACTTCAGCTTTGAATTCCCTGACACATGGACACACTGTTTAAAAAACCAACCACTACAATGGTCTCCCACTTCTTAAGTTACTGTTACGTATTTACCACTTAACTCCAGTTTAACAGTGTATTTTCTTAGGGAAAAAAAGATTAGCATAATAAACAAGCTGATGTACATTATTATCTTCGAAAGACCATACTACCAACTCCTACTTTTCAGCCAGGCAAAACAAAACCACATGAATCCCACCTCTAGTCTTGGCTTAGCTCCCCTCTCCAAAGTCTCATCCCCTTTGATAAGCTACAACCACTTTGGCCTGGTCTACACTAGGACTTTAATTCGGATTTAGCTGCCTTAATCCGAATTAACCCTTCACCCGTTCACACTACAGAGCCAGTTAATTCGAATTAAAGGGCCCTTTAAATCGATTTCTGTACTCCACCTCGACGAACGGAGTAGAGCCTAAATCGATTTTGTTAATTCGAATTAGGGTTAGTGTGGACGCACACCACCGAATTAATGTGGTTTAAAACCGAATTAAGGTGCTTAGTGTGGCCGCGCACAATCGAATTTATACAACCTGTTTCCCAAATTCGAATTATCTAAATTCGGATTAATCCTGTAGTGTAGACATACCCTAAGTCTGGGCTTGGCTACTAGTGGGACCAGAGCTCTACTAGCTTTGTGGAGAGCAGCAGATCTAGGATAAAAGGAGGACTATTTGCTCCCTCTGTACAGCACTGCTGCCTCATGGGGTTGCACCAACAGACGTGGTATCTTACATTTTTTTCTTGCTTGTTGAATTTATATTACAAAGTTTAAAACTGTTTTCAAGGTATGCTTTAGTTGCAACTAAAGTAGCTGCAACATGCAATATTTTCTGTGCCCTGTGTGCATCAGCTGTGTAAAGCAGTCCTTAACTAAAGGTCCAATCCTACACACATCACTAAAGTCAATGGAATGTCTCATAAAAAAGCACTTACAAGATTGTGCTCCTATGATACTAAATGTCATAGAGTGAGTTGGACGTAACCAATGTTCCCTCTAATTTTTTCTATCCATGAGCGGAATGAATTTTGTTATGTGCACCAATATCAAGGTAATATGCGCATGTGCGCTACCAATAGAAACAAAAAACCTAGATATAAATCACCCTCACATATTATATAATATAGTTTAACCCAACTGTTTTTTTTATTAATGGTAAGGCAGCAATTTAAACAAGGGCCAAAGTCTGGGCTCCTCACTTGAGCAGAAAGCCCATGGGAGTTTTGCTTAACTAACGATGGCAGAATTTGGCCCTGGAAAAGGTGAATACTTTCAAAAAATCTATAATCAGCAGCATATTTAAACCCTGGATTGTCACCTTCAAGTTCAACAAATATAAAAATTCAGTCTACCCGTGGTCTGGCAACATCAAATGTTCAATCTGTCAGTTTGAAAACAAAATATCTGAAGTATAATTGTACAGTGAAGTATTTGTACACAGTATTCTATTAACGTGAAATCTGCAAACAAAATCCAAATCTTTATGTACAAGCTTCATAGCTGAGACATGCTAGAAAAGCCTGCAATCTGAAAATTAGAATCCCTATTAGTCTTCTTTAAAGTGAGTTACACACAGAGAGCATATATACCTCTACCCCGATATAACACGACCCGATATAACATGAATTCGGATATAACACGGTAAAGCAGTGCTCCGGGGGGGGAGGGGGGCGGGGCTGCGCACTCCGGCGGATCAAAGCAAGTTCAATATAACGCGGTTTCACCTATAACGCAGTAAGATTTTTTGGCTCCCAAGGACAGCGTTATATCGGGGTAGAGGTGTATTTGAAAGGAAATTACTCCAGTACTAACAGCAGTTCATACACTGTTAAAGTATTCTCATATTAAAAAAATACATAGTACATTTATATTCAAAAGGAGAAAATTACCTGATTCTAACACAGTGGACTGCGAAACTAGATGGAGCTTACAGAAATGCAGTATTGATTGTTACATTATCTCAGTGGGTTGCTATTTCTACATATTGAACTGATTGTCAACATTTGCCAATTTATTCAGCACTGGCCGGGCAAGGAGATTAGGACTGGGAACCATCACAGTGTAGGAGAACAGGGAGATGGAGGACAGATCTGATGAGGAGCTAGGGTGCCCTGGACAAGCAGCTAAGGGATGTGTGTGTTGGGGGAGTAAGGGGGAGGGAGGGGGCTGAAATAGGATCAGGAGCCTGGGAGCTGGGTGAGAGCTGGGCTGGGCAATAAGACTGGAAACATGGGTGGAGAGACTGGGACTCAGATGCAGAGTATCCAGTGGGAGACTTGCTGGGCAAGACAACCAGGACTGGGATGAAAAGCCTGAGGAGGAGCCTGGAACAAGGAGCTGGGGGTGGAGAAGAGACAGGACTGGAACAAGTTGGAGGGGATGGGACAGAAGGGGTTGAGCTTAGGTGAAACAGACCAAAGGGTCTGTAACCCCTAGAGAACATTCCCTCCTTCATTCCTCCGGGAATGAAATCCAAGATTCTAGAGTCTTGCTGTTCTTCTGCACTTAGCAAATATCTGTGAAACCCACTGGCAAAGTGTCTCATCCCCAGGTAGTGCTGGTCCACGTAGAGGCGGACAACCTACTACTGCTTTTGCTAACTCAAGTAGAAGAGGTCTGTGTGGTAGATCTAAAGGTTCCAACCTGCAGATGAAGCATTGGGATGTCAATATGGTGCCATTTCTATTTTTTCAGTTTGCTTTTATAAAAACTAGGAAATTACACACCATCTCTTAACCCCATGTTAAAAGAACATAAAGGTTACTAAATCAAGCCGTCAAAAATTAGGAAATGCCAGAATTAAAGTGCCTGTGAAACCTTAATTTGCCCCCCCTTGTGCATATAAAGTATGATACATTTTTCAATTACATGATCATATACTACTTTCCCTCACAGGAATCCTGCCTCAGTCAGTGGACAGGATGGATGGTGCTGTGTGGATAATCAGATTTGTGTAGTAAAGACGACTGTTGTCTGTAATACCCCTGCCTCATATATACCAGAAGTTGGAAAGTGTGTAGTGAATGAGGCAGGAACTGCAGGAAGCTAAAGGATGTTCTCACACTTAAGGAAGTTGAATGCTGCCTTGAAGAACTGGATTCTATCCCTGCCTCCATCAAAGAGCTGAGCACTCACAGCTGCAACTTAAGTAAATGGGAGCTGTGCTTTGAACATATTCAGTGCTAAGTAATACTAAGTATTCTGAAAAATCAGATCCTAAATGTCTCAAATTGGGAACCTTGAATTAGTGGATACTTTTGATGTTTATCTCTGTGCCTCTGCGCCTCTGCCCTATTTTACACATGGGGACAAGAGCCACTAACCTCATAGGGGTATTGTGAAAACAAATGAATGAATGTTTGTGAAGCACTCTGATACCATAGTGAAGAGCACCATAGAAAAGTCCATCAGGAAATTAATAATTCTGTCATCAGAGCAGGGTTTGAATAGTGTGCAATAAATAAGGCACAAGACCACACCACTGAGGAGGACAATGAGGAGAAAGCAAAATAATGAATAGCTAGCTGCTCATTAATTGAGCATTGCTCAACCTGTGCACTGAATGATGCAGGGATCCCTGGTGGGGGAAAAGAGATAGTCTTTAATTACATGATCACAAACTATTATAATGTATTTGTACAAGGGGGCTCTTCTCTGCGCTGATTAGGCCTCAGTGGGAGTATTGTGTCCAGTTCTGGGTGCCACATTTCAGGAAAGATGTGGACAAATTGGAGAAAGTCCAGAGAAGAGCAACAAAAATGATTAAAGATCTAGAAAACATGACCTATGAGGGAAGATTGAAAAAATTGGGTTTGTTTAGTCAGGAAAAGAGAAGACTGACATGGGACATAATAACAGTTTTCAAGTACATAAAAAGTTGTTACAAGGAGGAGGGAGAAAAATTGTTCTTCTTGACCATGGAGGATAGGACAAGAAGCAATGGGCTTAAATTTCAGCAAGGGAGGTTTAGGTTGGACATTAGGAAAAACTTCCTGTCAGGATGGTTAACCACTGGAATAAATTGCCTAGGGAGGTAGTAGAATTTCCATCATTAGATATTTTTAAGAGCAGGTTAGACAAACACCAGTCAGGGATGGTCTAAATAATACTTAGTCCTGCCAGGAGTGCAGGGGACTGGACTAGAGGACTTCTCAAGGTCCCTTCTAGTCCTATGATTCTATAAATGTAGGTTACACAGGCAACCTTAATTCTGGCACTTCCTAACTTTGGAGTGCTTGACTTTACAACCTTAATAATGTTATTTTAATATATTTTGTGCATGTGTGTAATTATTAACAATTCAAGCTAAACAAGCACAAGAACAATAACGAAAGTGTCCACAATCTGGAATAACAAATCCTTCTATAAAATGAACTTTCGCTTTTGCTATTTTTATTAAGTCTACAGAACAGTGAAAAGTCATATTCAAAGTAGTAAATTGATTAGAAGTCGTTGTAGAGCCTTAATCTGGTATAACCAGGAAAAATTGGTGCTTAAGTTGAGAGAAATAAGTATTTCACATTCTGCATGGTTCCAAGCAAACGAAGAGTGTAAAACAAAACTGGTTGTTAAAAAACAAAAACAAACAATAAGACAAAACTAAAGACAACACATGGAATGAGAGAGATAATACCAAGAGCTATTCTGAAACAGCAAGGGAATCTTGACCACCTGTATTTTAAAGGGCCTATGCCAAGCTCTCTCACCTCTGTGGAAATAACTCAAAACTTTAAGGAGAGTCAAGAGGCTAAAGCACCTAATAAAATAGGAAAAGAAGAACGACACAAAAGTGAACTTCTAACTATTTGTTTATGACAATCTATAACTCCATGAGTGTTTTTTATTCTCAAACAATTCAAATTTTATACTCAAGTAATAAATAACAGTCTAAGGCAGGGGTCGGCAACCTTTCAGAAGTGGTGTGCCAAGTCTTCATTTATTCACTCTGATTTAAGGTTTCGCGTGCCAGTAATACATTTTAATGTTTTTAGAAGGTCTCTTTTTATAAGTCTATAATATATAACTAAACTGTTGTTGTATGTAAAGTAAATAAGGTTTTTAAAATGTTTAAGAAGCTTCATTTAAAATTAAATTAAAATGCAGAGCCCCCCAGACCGGTGGCCAGGACCCGGGCAATGTGAGTGCCACTGAAAATCAGCTCACGTGCCGCCTTTGGCACGCGTGCCATAGGTTGCCTACCCCTGGTCTAAGATGATAAAATCCAGAGATGGAAATTTAAAGTGGAGGAGTCTCTCTCTTCAATTTAAGCACCTACTACATTAAAGAAATGGCTACAATTAAAAATACATTGGGAAAAATAGGAATATTGTATTGTATTGACTAGATATTTTCTTTAAAAAGTTTTAATACCAGTATTCCTTATTTATGGACCAACTGTGTATAGCTTGTATTTATTAAAAACAACATGTGCAGCAGAGGGAAACAAAAGGAAAAGCTGAGGGAGGTGGAGAGGGAAGATGAATAATTTAGGGAAGTTAAGATTATAAATTAAAAGACAAACTAAGAGTGTGACAGTACACAAATATAATCAGAAATTACATACTGTTTAGGGACGAGATCAAATCTCATCCTATTCAGAAGCTCATCTTCCTGTAGCATTACCATAGCGACGGGGTACATCTGGTCGAAGTCAAAGTTAAACTGAACACCTGCTGGCGGGTCACGCAGAAAGTTTCGCCTGTCCTTTGAAGAAAATACTATAGTTATTAACCGACATCAGAGGAATTATATCACGTTTGACCAGACCATCTCACTCCCTACATATTTCTTTAGCGTCACAGCCATGTAACTTTCTGTTAAAGACAAAAGTGTAAATAGGAGGATACATTTTTCCATCTCTATTTTGGCCCAGAAGTTGCTTCAGGCATGTGACTGGTAACCAAACACCATGCTGTATCTAAATTTTGTATGCATATACACAATGTAGTCTAATTTTTTGATAAGTGATGAAATTACTGAAGGTATATGTTTTAATCAAAACAAAAGACAGCTTTAATAACAAACAAGAAACTTACTGCTGATAAGGCCAAGATTTGTTGTTGAATTGTTTCTTCTTCATTGCTATCTACCCAAGGAGGCACTGCTGCTTCTGTCATTAAAGAGGGGAAAATAATTCATGTTTTATTATATTTAAATACAAAAATATTTATATTAAGACAGAGCAACACACAATGCCAGAAAGACAGTTGAGCCCCGGGGGTCCCTGTGTCACTGTCACCCACCTGAAAAATTAAATGGAAACAGGACATCTTTGAAACAAATTGTTTCAGAACTGTGCTCACTTCGGTACATTAGTTTCATTTCTGTTTTTTTTACAACTGATCTCAAGGTATAGCAGATGAGTTATGGAAATGAGTCTTTGTTTATTAGAGCTGGTCAAAAAAATTAAAAAAAAAATTCAGCAAGAATTATTTGGTCATTTTTCAATCAACATTTTATTACTTCTTCCAAAATGTTCTAGACCAGGACTACTGCAAATAGGTCAAACAATATAGCACTGTGGTGCATAATTGGCTGAACTGTACAACAGTCCTTTTGATAAAGAATGCTTTCTGTCAGTTTCCCATTAGAGATTTATCCTGAAAAAATATATTGTACAACCTATTCTCTGTTGAAAATAATTGATGCACAATTATATGACAATATACATTGTAAAATACATGTTATAAGATTAATTTGACAAAAAGATTTTAGAACAGATTAAAAAAATTATAGTTTAAATAGAAATGGTTATGGTTAACGTTCATAAATACAAATTGTGCTGATAAACTTTAACAATAGCCCACATTTCTGGTTTTGGAATAATACATAAATGATTCAGTTTCCAAATACCCAACCTTCACTTTTTTTTTTTTGCACTAGGGAGATACAAAAAAATTAGATTCACCAAAATAAGAGGGTGTATTTTATAATGCTTAATGCTAATTTACAGATTTACTTTAAAATGTTCAGAGAAGTTCAAAGGGTAGTCCAAAAGTACACCTCTACCCAGATATAACGCTGTCCTCAGGAGTCAAAAAATCTTACCACATTATAGGTGAAACCGTGTTATATCGAACTTGCTTTAATCTGCCGTAGTGTGCAGCCCCGCCCTCCCGGAGCGCTGCTTTACCACGTTATATCCGAATTCATGTTATATCGGGCCGTGTTATATCGGGGTAGAGGTGTAAGTGTAAGTTTGGGGAGGATACACTGTACTACTCATACATACAGTAAAGATTAAATTTCTAGGTGTGAAAATAAATGCATACTTAACTATGGAGTCACTCTGTGCATTCATAGTATCTAATAATATATATTAACAATGGCAAACAGTATGACAAACTTCAGCATGATCCATTTGAAACCATCAACATATTCAAGGTTAAAAAGAGATCTATGTCAAACTGCAATATACTTTTCTATCCAGAAATATTTGATGACCTAAACAATGTAGGGACAAATTCTGCCTGTCTTACTCACAAAGAGTGAGATCACTGGGTCTGCTTATAATAGGCAGCAGGTTTAAAACAAACATAAGGAAGTAATTCACACAATGCACAATCAACCTGTGGAACTTGTTGCCATGTGACATGGTAAAGGCAAAAAGTATAACTATGTTCAAAAAAGAATTACATAAGTTCATGAAGGACTTAGCCAAGATGGTCAGGGATGCAACCCCATGCTCTGGGTGTCCCTAAATCTCTGACTGCCAGAAACTGTGACTGGAGAACAAGGGAGGGCTCACTCGATAACAACACTGTTCTTTTTATTCCCTCTGAAGCATCTGGTACTGACCACTATTAGAAAACAGGATACTGGGCTAGATGGACCATTAGTCTAACCTGATATGGCCATTCTTATCTAATGGTACATAGATGCATGACCCAAGAAGAACCTTAGAGAAAGCAATTTTCCCTGGAACTATAAGTAGAGCACCTCCCACAGAGAAACTAATGACATGCTAGAATGGCACCCACACTTTATGTTATTCATTCCATCTAGTAATATGTTACACTGCTAGTAGAGAGCCCAAGTGTCAGGCAATCAGAATGCCTGCCTCCTCACAAAATATAACAACCTGAGGTTCAAAATAAGTCACAAGAGATCAGTCCCACTGATTTTCAATTATTATAGTTAAATATGTTTGCTGAATTTAGTAGAAAATGCTGGATTAGCTGTATAGTTAACTTGTTTTAGCTAAGTTTCAACTAGTGATCCCTTATCTCGTCCCAAAAATGCACTTACTGAAATCCTGATATACAACTATTGTGCATTATACAGAATTTCCATGAGTCACCTTTTTTGCCACAAAGATTAGGTTTAATATCTACTGAGACTGAGGTGAACTATGTAGCTTTCATCAAAATTTAGTGAAACGTGTTAGTTATCTTTAGTAAAAGACCTACATTTAATAATAAATATTCAATACCTGACTTTTTTGTGTGCTTTTCTTGAACAAATTTCTCTTGTTCCTTCTGAAAGTCTCCGATAATTGTCTATAAGAAAAGGTAATTTCAAGTAAAGAATGAAAGGAAATGGAATACATTACAGAGTTGTCTAATAACATTCAGAGAGTAAGTAATTTGAAACACATTTCAACTTAACATGATACTTTAGTTATACTTGAGACCGTACTCTTTTGCAAGTTAGCTAAGCAAGAAGAGGTCATACTAATTGTTCAGCCCTTTACCCTTTAACTGCACCCAAAACTCAGTTTTCTCTTTAAGATCTGAAACTCATGTGTATAGTCCTCCAAAGTGATATGCATACTTTACCAACTTTGAAAAATAAATTTCATGAAGGTGTCAACAGTGTACTGTGCACATGCAATATGTTATTTTCTTATCCGCTTAAGTACACACAATGCATAGATTCCCTGAATATCTGCATATTTAAATAAAGGTACCTGCTTTAAAAAGTATTACCCATTCAAACACACCCGTATCATATTTTAAAAGAAGAGAGGGGAAATTAAATGCAGGGAATAAAAATATCAAACACAGTGTTGCAGTTAAGATTTTACAAGTCACCAAATTCAAAACGTACGGTTCCCAAATCAACCCCTAGAAATTTGGCAGAGAAACTGTGCTTACCTAATACAGAGTCATACTTCCACTCTCTGTGACATTGAATAATTCCTTGATTACTGAAAATTATTAAATGTCCTGCATTAAATCTGGATAATCAAGAATTTACTGTATTATAAATTAATGTTAAAACTGAAAAAAAAAAAATTGAGAAGATCATAGTAGAGCTAGGAGCATGATTCATGCTCTGTGAAAAGAACCTTACTATGAAAGACTTAAGGATTTCAATCTATTTAGTTTAGTCAAGAGACAGTTAAGAGGCAACTTGATTAGAGTCTAAGTACCAACACAGAGAGAAGATATCCAACCCTAGCGGGCTGTTTAAGTCTACCAGACAAAGGCATAAAAAGCTCCAATGGCAAGAAGCTGAAGTCAGAAAATTCTGAACCATTAATAAGATGCAAATTTTAACACTAAGGTTCTTAACTGATGGAACATATTACCAAGGGATGAGGTAAATTTTCCATCACTTGGAGTCTTTAAATCATGCCTTTCTAAAAGATATATTCTTGGTCATTCACCAATATTTGGGCTTGATGCAGATATCAATGGGAGAAATTCTATGGGCTGTTATACAGATGGATCACAGTGGACCCTTCTGGCCTTAAAATCGATTGGTTTATGAATCTATTAACACCAGTAAATACATAGTACTTCATATGCTCAGTGGGCAAAGTTCTGGATGCTGTGGGAACTATAACTCATTTCCTGGTTTTTCTGTGTAAAATTTCAGCCATAACTGGGAATTAGTGTAATTGATTTAATGTATCCTCACAAGAGAATGGCATATTAGGCCTAAGAAACCAGCTTCTGAAGTCATCTGTGGATAATTTTCTAGAAAAGTTACTACCAATATACCTTGGGGATATTAATAAAGAAACATCAAGTAATCTTTCTGATATGTTTTTTTTTCCTTTTTTTGCAGCATTTACAATTGCAGATGTGTGCCAGAACTACATTAGTTCAGACTCCAACAGTGCACAGGGGCCACTTTCCTACTCTCATGTGTATTCAACTCCTGAGATCAATGGTATCTGAAGACAGAATTTTCCATGTGAGGTTTTTATGGCAAGTTTCACTTTACTAGTAGATTTTGGAAGAAGGCATGACCATTTCTAACTCCAAATAAGATAAAAATTACAGCGCTTTGAATTAAAAAAACAAGTCATACAATGATCCATACAATCTACAAAGTTCTGATTCTCAACTCCCAGTGGCATTTAAAAGGCAGGTTGGATAGCTGCCTTTCCTCTTCCCAGTCAAATAAGTTCAAGGTTACAGTCAGGTCCCCAGCCAGTGACTCAGCTAAATTCCCCAAAAGGCCTCCATCCCTCAAAACACTCCAGCCTTGGGGCCAGAGTGAATCTCGCTGACTGTTTGAGGAGTGAATCAACCTTTAAATTAAGGAAGCAAATAACTTTAGTTGTTTTTATCTTTAAATGTGAATGCAAAGAAGCATAAGGAGCAGGAAGGACCATCATACATAGATGTATGATTTCATTTTTACTGGCAGAGAAGAGGACAGGGAATTTCATCCTTTAGTCATAACATCTTCAAGCAGGGTAAGAAAGAAATCTAAGCTTTTAAAGGGGAGATATTGTTTTTTCAATGCAACTGTTATCAATAAACCCACCATTAATTACACTGCTTCTTGACTCCATCTCCCCCCAAAATGAAGTAATTCACTATTGTATTTCTCTTCATTTGTATTTTTAGAGTTTTTCCTCTTCCTCCATCATTCCTTTATTTCTGTTAGAATCTGTATTTTTACTGAGAGGGTTACACAAGTTTTTTCTGCATTTCTTACTCTCAGTTATCCAGGCCCTATACCATATCACCCCTCCTTGTGGGACAGAGTTGGATGCTGCTCTATTAGTGAATCCAGTGGAGAAGCAAGGCACCAGGCAACAATGCAAGACATTTCCTGCCCACCCAAAATACTACACAGACCAAAGTATGCACTGCTTCAAATCATTCAGAACAGTACCTTCCTCCTTTTGCTAGTCTCTCCATTTTCCAATTTGCCTATATCTTTCCCCTTTCTAACATCTTTCTTCTTTTACTGCCCCACTCCCCCACCCCATACATGCTTGAGCCATTCTTATATATCATGCTTTCCAGATGTTACTTCCAAATACAGTACACATTTTTTTCCTTTTTATTTGAAAAAGTTTTATGACTTTAAGTTCATGAACAGTAAAATATGTCCCAGACAGTTCTCATGACGTACCCAAGGCCAAGCTTAATTGTTGCCTTAGCATGGAGTTCTACAGTCACAGTTAATGTAACTTCCTTCCACATAAGGAACTCAAACTATGGTATCTTCACAAAAGAATGAATCAATATGTCCAGCATCATAGCGACAACATATTTTTCAAAGGACAGACAAACTGTCAGACACAATTAAAATAAAAACATTATTTCACAAAATACTTATGGAAGTAGTGTTGGAAGTTGTGTAAGAACACAATCAAGCTTACATATACAGTACTGTAAGAAATGCTAGAAAATGATAGTATTCTCATTTACACTATAACAGTACATTACACAAATGGAAACGACGGACGCACTGAAATAAACAAGAGATATGAATAGAAGCCTGTACTTCTCATGCCCAAAAGACAAGATATAGCAATAGAAAACATTATAAAATTATCATCATAGAGGGTAATACATAAAGAAAAACTCTAGTTAAAAATTTCAGAGCCCTCGCACACACAGACCAGAGATAATTTAAAAGAAAATCCTAAATCATACAAATGTCAGAAAACAGACATAGATATTCTTGCCACCTGGGGTTTATGATCACAGTCAAGGCTTGAAAAAAAATATAACAGATTATGGCGTTTATTTTCCTATGCTGTAATCAGTGTCTATTTTCTTTGTTTCCTTGCATTATTTTCTCCACCCTCTTCTATAGTTCCTGTCCCTTTGTTACTCTGTTGCTACGGAGAGTTCTCCACATACACCCACCTATATGCAACCATTCACAAAACTCAATCTCACTGTTTTTCCCAGGATTTGAAAAGTTTACCAGATGAATAATATTATAGGTTAGGCTGGTACCATAGCCTATTATTAAGGATGCCCGACACTGTTTTCAGTTGCTTATAATGTGCCAAAATGTAGTTGTTCAGACTGTAGTTTCCATGATGGGTATCTATCCCAGATTAAATTTTTTTTGGAAAATTTCAACCAATATGGTCCAGCCATTTCCAACAATGAAGCTAAGGAAAAATACATTGTTGTGCCCTTGTTAAAAAATTCTGACAACCTTTTCTTTTCATCGGGTGACTGTTGTGTCAGGGATGTACCTTTTGCCATCCACGCGAAGAGCTGCTCAAATGTGGACAATTTATAAACCTCTAAAAAATCTTAGTTTGCACATGCTCAAAAGAGATTCAGATTATAGCATCTTAATTCCCCAAAGATTCCATCTGCACTGAGCTGGACTTTTCCTGAAATTGCAGCTCTGAGTTGCTAAGGACCATGCCAGGTCCAGGCACCTGAACTGAGAGCAAGAAGTCTGTTTTTTGTGTGCTCTCAATGATACCCCTGCCCACACACACTGGGCCCAGATAGCGTAGAGGGGAAGCAGCCAAATTCAAATGCAGAGAGGACAGGAGCCAGACATGCAGGGAAGGCAAAGGGAATAGATTGGGACAAGTAGTCTGAGGAAGCAGAGGGAAGACAGAAACTGAGACTGGGGGCAGTTGAAAGGAAGGATGAGGGGAGACAGCTCTGATGCAAGTGGGGAACTAGAATTGGCTGGACAAAGACAAGGAGCTGGAACATAGATTGGATGAGAAGTCTGGGGAGGGAGATTGGAACTGGGAGACAACTAGAGGGCGGGTTAGGGGAGAAAGATTGGATGATGAGCTGGTAGGGGGTGGGAACTGGTTGGGCTAGGATCCTGGAGACAAGGAGCCAGGAGGATGTGGGGGTGAGGCTAGGATTTGTTGGGCAAGAAGACTGGAATGAAAAGCCTGAGGAGTGGAGACTGGGACTGGCTATGTGAGGAGAGTGGGATAGGGATGAAAAGCCAAGGGTGGAGAAAAGACAGGACTGGGACACAGACAGAAGGGAGGTGATGGGACAGTAGGGGTCAGGGTTGGGGGAATGGGCAGAAGAGTCTGTGCCTCCTGAACCTGGAACAGAACCCAAGATTTGAGTCTCACCATTCCCTCTGGAGTCAGCAAATATCTACAAAACCCACTAGAAAAGTGTCCCATCCCATCTCCCTGTAATGCACAGAGGGCAACACCTACTATTGCTATCAGTTACTCTGTTAGCTCAAATGGAAGAGGTCTATGCGGTGGATCTAGAGGTTCCAACCCTGCTGGTGAACCACGTAAATGGCAATATGATGCCACAGGATGGAATGTGTTTTTCAGTTTGCTTTTTTAAAATAAAAATAAACTAGTTATATTAAAAGAATATTAAGGTTGCAAAGTCCAGCACTCAAGAGTTAAGAAATGTCAGAATTAAGGTTGCTTGTGTGCAGTAAATAAGGCCTAGGGCCACACACTGAACAATGAGGAGAAAACAAAAGATTGAGTACCTGCTTATTAAGTGAGAATCGCCCAATAATGTAACAGTTTTTTGTAATATTTATATAAATTAACCAGGCATGTTTATATTGTAATGCTTTGATTGTTTTAATGTTTTTATTATGTATTAACTATCTTGCAGTTAAGATTGCTATAGTGATTACATTTTTGTGTGAGAGATTTTCATTAATAGTTTTCCTTGAAATGCCCATTCTGTATAAACACTTCAGTCAGATAAAACAAACTTTGTTCAACTATTTATTCAAGAAATATGTGAAATCAGCCCTAAAAATCTGCAATTTTAAAAACCAGTTTTGGGGGTTTGTTTAAGGCAGACCATTTTGCAGGCCCAGACACTCTATACAGATGCTGATGAATAGCATTTGAAGCAAAGCAGATACTGGAGTACATTACAGATCAGTTTCACATAATGAAGAAAAAATACCTTATCAATGATGGTATCAATTTTCCCTTCTTCTACAGACTTCTTTATATTTTGTGCTGTTTCAGCAACCGATTCAGATATCTTTTTTGTAGCAGCAGTCGCAAAATTGAAGAGATAATCTTTCACAAATGAAAAGAGATTAGAGTTGTAAATATTTTGTTATATCAAATTCTTTAGTTATATTTTCTTTTCTCATTGTACATTTTTAGACACCTAATCTGAAAGTCATGTTTATAACAAAAGTTCTAAAACAGAATTGCTTAAACTGGCTTCTTAGTACTCTAGAAGGCCTCTTTGCAGGTGAACTACCGGGTATATATTTCTATCCTTTTTTAAATTCTTGTTCCTTACGGATGGAACTGTATGTTTGGCCAAAAAATTTTTTTTTTTTTAAATAAACTGATAAGCTATTACACATCTGAAGCTCCTTTTCATGTAATGAGACAGTCATCAGGTTCTTTGGGTCTCTAGACACTAGCACAATTTAAATAATATTCAGACAAACTAAGAAGAAGCCACTAGCCTTTAAATGTGTGACAAACAACAACTTAATATCGAGGTGGGTACCTTGAAATGACGTGGGATTAGTTTCTTTTTCAGATACTATGCTTATAGTACCATGTAAATATCTAGAGAGACAGATTTAGTAGGTGTAAAGTTTTCTATAATCTTACTTGTGATTCAGTATATCTGATGCCAATAAATTGGTACAATTAACACTATGATAATAGTAGGATTTTATGCAGAAGTAATTATAAATCTAAATTAAGTGGTGAATATCAAAAGAGGAATAATTGAGAATATGATTTAGAATCTAAGGGACATCAGAAGAGAGGAGTGAAACATTTTAATCATTCCAGGAAGGTCAAGCTGAAACTTTAAAAACTGTTGACTTTCAGAAACAACTGGCACTTCAGGTATTGCCACTCTTTCTGCCAAAAAGAATACCTAAGCTTTCTTTCCTTTCTAGAACTTCAGGTCTACAAGACAATCTGAATATCATGACTATTAACTTAATACTTTTTAAAAAAGCTACAACTTTTATCCTCACTATCATATACAAAACAGTGGGCTGTTTTGTTTACCCTGACACAAAAGGTTAAGAAGAACAGGAAGAGTGAGCTGGAATCTGAACCAGATGATATTGACTAACCAAGATGTTTGGCTCCACCACACATAAATTGCTAAAAAGTTTTTAAGAATACTGTGAAACAGATCCTTGCCCTTTTTTGCTGGTGAAAACCACCAAAGACTGATGTCTGCTACTAATGGACATCATCAACTCCTTCTGAGAAATGACATTGCTAACTTTCCTGAAATATTCAATAGTCCATCCAATCTTCAAAAAACCATACTCAATGAAGATGACCTCTCCAAACACTTTCCTATTTCTAACCTCCATTCTAAGAAAAGCCACAGAGAAAGCAGTGACAACAAAGCTCTAGCACATGTTATCTGTTACCGGGTGCCTTACAATTAGGATTCAAACTGTGTGTGTATAGGAACTAAATAGGACTTTCCTCATGACAATGGATGTAAAAATAAACTCATGTGACAGTTGTTAGTCATATCATTCATGCATCCCAGGAAGGATGCTTATATACCAGGCTATCAATGCAATATAAGAGCCTAATTAGATAGGACACACACGATTGCTATTTAACATTATGTCATAACTTGTGGAGGGGTTCAGTAATCTATCAAAATGTACTACTGATCCACTTACATAAGTAGACATGCTTGGAGTAGACAGCATAGCATTACAATGACTCCATTTATTCCTCCAACAGAACCCAGAGAGGGCTAATGTGCAAATATATTTTTTCCCCAAAACCTTCACCTGTTGAATGGATCTCTGTTGTTCTGTTTAACATCTACATTAGACAGCTCAGAGAGGTAATGTGACACTAGAGTTCACTAGTAACAATATACTGACAACATGCAGCAGTACATCTCATAAGGACATAAGAATGGCCATACTGGATCAGACCAGTGGTCCATCTAGCCTAGTATCCTGTCTTCCAACAGTGGCAGGTGCCAGATGCTTCACAAGGAGTGAACAGAACGGGGCAATTTATCGAGTGATCCACACCCTGCTATCCAGTCCCAACATCTAGCAGTCTCCTTTGCCACAGACAACCAACATTAAACAGGTGTCAATGCCCAGTAATAATCAACTAAAATTCATTTTGGCCAAGACAGAAGTAATGCTAGTCAGAATTTATACACCAGAATTAGCTGGCTCACTGTCCTCCCCTTTCCATCAAAGACACCTACCCCTCCAACTGTCAAAGTAGTACAAAGCCTCAGGTTTTTGATAATAGCCGAGAAGGCCACACAGAATCAGTGATGAAAAATGTCTTTTATTGCACTTTCAGATTACTGCACAACCTTGCTCCCAATGATCTGGTCACTCAATTATTATATTAACTAAATCTGGGTCTGAAGATGGCAGCAGTAGAGAGGCTACAGCTCTTTTAGAAAATGTAATAATCAATTTCTGCAATAGGACAGGACATCACAAGAACATCAGCCCATATTTGTCCTTCCACTGGCTACCAATTTTCTTCCATTGAAAATTCAAAGACTTAGTCTTGATATTCAAAGCCATTTATGCTTTAGGACTCAGCTACACCAGAACAACCAATCAAGACAGCTACACTACTCTAGCACAATGCAGTTCACAAAGCCCACAGCAAAACATATGAAATCTAGGAACAAATCATTCTTGTTAAATGGGGGATGGCTGTAGAAATGGGTTCTAAAGGAGATCAGACTAATTCCAAATTTTCAGAGGACACTGTAAACCCTGCTCTTTGACAATGCTTCCCCACCACAACCAAATTAATGGGGAATAGAGCCTTCTGTGTTTTATCCAGTCAAAGTGGTACAGGAAAGCAAACCTCTCAAATTTTATCTGTTAATAGCCTTACTTATTCAGAGGACATGTCAATAAAATAAAATGTCATAGTTTGGTGTACTACACAAAACTTTTCATGCAAACATTTTATTGCACTTTACAAACTACACTATATTATTTTCTATGCACACATCACTTCTCCCACCAACTGAGGTGAATATAACAGGTGTTTAAAGGAACATTATCAATCTAGCCACACCTCTGTTTGATGAAAACAGCTTACTTATTATTTGTAACAAAGTTCACTATAACTGAAAGATGAGAGAGAATACTTTTAAAAAAATATTTTCAGTTTATTTTTACTTCAGAGAGCAGATTATATAGTCAGTCTCTCATAGCAACAGTGGAAATAACCACATTTAAAAAGTAGGGAAATGTGCCACTGGAACTTTGGGGTAAGGTTCGTATCCAAAACTATTAAAAAAAAAAAAAGTTGTGCCATGATTTCAAATTTGGTGGTGTCCCTTGAACAGTGCACAGTGACATCACAGAATTGTTAACACCACCTCGCTCATATACATTCTATTGTCACTGTTTTTATAACTAAATTATTGACATCAGAAACACTGAAAGTTGGACTTGAGACTATAGAATGACACCTCATTTTCAGCTTCTAACTTTATTTGCATGGCTGTCTCTTGAAAATCCTGGTTAGGGTGAAAGAGATACAGGAGAGGTCCAAATTTGTTAAATGCAGAATACATGTCAACTGGGTACATATCATAAACCTATGCCACAATTATATCACATAATGTAATTCATACATGATTTGCAAAGCCTAGGCAAGTGAAAGAGATGATTGGAGTCTCTCAAGAGGTAAATCCTGAGGATTGAAGAGCCTTAGGCCCGGTCTTCACTTGGGCGGGTGGGGATGGGGGAGATGTTTTATATTAAGTCAGCTAACATGACTTGAAACACCACTTAGCAGCTAGCATAGACAATGTGGCACCTTTAAAATTGTTTGCTGGTGATATTGTAAACCATGCTCCTTCCTTTAAACAATATCAAACAGTGTTTACACTAGATGTTATGGGGTCTTGACTAGGAAAAAATATGTTTTTTCACCGGAGTTAACTCAAACAAGCCACTTTAACTCAACCGAAACCCCACTTAATGCCAATGTAGACACAGTTTAACAGCTTTAGCAGATTTTAGCAGGTCAAGTTATGGGTCCCATTTATGCTATAACTTGACCTGCTAAAATCAAGTTAAAGGTATTAAATTGGACCTACTTGGTGTTGAGTGGTTTTCAACAACTACATTACCTGGATTTTTAAAAAGGCACCTTTTCCTATAATCTAACTAGAGCCTAAGGGATAACATGATTTTTAAGAAGCACCTTTTTGCCAGGCCTACACCCAGGTACTGTACTATTTCAGTCAAGGCAGTAGGGTTTTTTTAACTGAATTAGTCATACTGGTAAAACCCTCCTTTACTTAGGGCTTGGCTACACTTACGCGGTAGTTCGGCGGCTGGCAATCGAACGTCCGGGTTCGATTTATCGCGTCTTGTCTGGACGCGATAAATCGAACCCAGAAGTGCTCGCCGTCGACTCCGGTAATCCTGCTCGGCGAGAGCAGTACGCGGAGTCGACGGGGGAGCCTGCCTGCCGCATCTGGACCGCGGTAAGTTTGAACTAAGGTACGTCGACTTCAGCTACGTTATTCACGTAGCTGAAGTTGCATACCTTAGTTCGAATTGGGGGGTTAGTGTAGACCAGGCCTCATACTAGTAAAAAGGTGACTTACTGCTATAGCTTACTCTGCTTTCCTTATGGTAATAAGTTAGCCAAGTATAAGAGACCTTTATATCTGTATTACTGCATCAACACTTAGAGGGGGTTATTGCACTTTAACTAAAGTGAGACAATTTTTGTGTGCAGATAAAACTCTAAGATACCCCCATCAGCTGACTGTTATTAAGATATTTCTATTACCACAACCCCTGCAGGAAGTTCTCCCACCCCCAGAGTGTTATAATATGGTGTAAAGAGCATCTATATTGTTTTCCCCAAGCACCTTTTTAGAGCTTTAACCTGTCCTGTGAAGCTCTGGGTGAGACTCAGGGAATGTGTCAAGGCAGGAGAGCAAGTCCCATGGTGATGAGCAATCAACTGTGTGCAGGGGTGGGGTGGGGATAGGGGGAGTGAGTGAGTGGGCAGAGGCAGGTGTTCGGGTTGCAGGGCCAGATCGACGTGGGGGAAAGGGATCAGCATCTGTGGGGAGGGTAGCTGTCAGGGCTGGTCAGTATGTGCGTGTGGGGGGGAAGAGAACAGGGATAAGGGGGCTTGTCAGTGTGCGGGGGATGTAGTCGGGGGTGTCAGTGTGGGGGTGGGTGGGATCTGTGGGGGGACGGGAATGGTGCGTGTGTGGGAGTGCCGGGCCGGGGGGGGGGGGTAAATGGGGACGAGAGGTCTGTTGGCTGGGGGCTGCCGGGCCGTGCGCGGGCAGGACACTCACTGCCGAGTCCTTTGGCCTGGCTGAGGAGTGGATCCGTATCCACCTGCTCCTGGCTCCGCACGGCCGGGTCCCCGCCCGCCGCCTCCTCCTCCCCTTCGGCGCCCCCGGCTTCGCTCCGCTCCCCGGGGCTGCTGCTCCCCTCGGGCGGCGGCTTCTGCTCCTCGCCCGCCCGCTCCAGCCCGAACCAGCTGCCCAGCCCCCGCAGCATCCCGCAGGAAGCGGCCTCGGCCGCTCGCGGTGCCGGACTCCAGCGATTACCAGCCCCCGCAGCCGCTCCCAACGGCTCTAACGGAAACGCCCACAGAATGAGAGCGACACAACACTGTATCCGGAAACTGGGGTCTACCCCATCCGTTCCGGGTTACGTCACTTCCGTAGGTCACAGGGCAGAGACGCTCTGTATTTCCTTCTCTCTATTCCTCCCATGGGGAGGGGGAAGGAAGAGGCAGGTGAGGGGGGGAGCGGTTGGCTGGGGGAACGGGAGGGGGGGGGGGCTAGGGATAGGGAAGCAAAGGAAAGGGGGCAGTCAGTGGGGTACAAGAGAGGGGGGGATTTGGGTGCAGGAGCTTCCTGCTCTCCCGCAAGTTCTCCCACGTGGGGATTGTTCATTGAAGTCAATGGCAAGTGCATGTGCAAAAAGATTGCAGGCTCGCTGTTCCTGGAAGGCAAGGAGGGAGAGGGGTGATCCACTATGTTCTCCCACCACTGCCGAAAAACCACGGTTTGGGGGTTTGTTTAGTTTGTACATACACATGCTATTTTGTAAATAAATACATTTCCCCTGCAGCACTTTTGTCACCTCAACCCACTGATCTTATACATGCAAACTTAGGCCCTGATCATGCATGCATGTACTTAATTTTAAGTACAGATGAATAGTCACATGAAGTCATATAGGACTTCCCATGTGTGTAAAATTCAGCATGTGGATAATCGGGACCATACATTGCAAGCTGCTTTGGGCAGGGTGCTGTCATTTGTGTTTGTCCATAAAGTACTATGGCTCTGTAAAAATAACAACGTTAAACCTGACAATGCTTTTTTAAGATTATGTCTTCAAGTTTTGGTGGCTTTCTCCGTATGGACATATTATAATGGAAGACCAACAAATTCCATAGCGTATGTATCAAGGAGTGAAGCTACACAACTGGCAATCACGTGGGTGCCAAAAGCTTCAGTGATGCAATAAGATTGCTGGTGATGGCCATAAACTGAATATACAGCCTAAGCACATAGCCAGACATGATCCAGGTGGCCCTGAATCTGCAAGAAGGCCGGATCCCTTTAGGATTTGCCATGATGATGGTGTCTCCACATACCGGTAGTGATCAAGTGGAGTTAGGAAAGGTGAAATAGCATGAGACCCTTTTGAGAATTAAGAGGTAAGCATAGAGGGAAGAGACACTGACAGAATCAGATCAGTGCATGATGCAGGAGAATGTTTAAAATGAATCAAAAGGATCTGTTATATATAAAATTACATTAACAAAAATAAAACTAACTTCTGAACAATCAACAAAGCTGGAGATAGATTTATCATGCTCTGTCTTTTAAAGCTCAATTCTGTATTGTGTTTGGAGCAGCCATTTACATCAATATGAGTTCTGTGTTCACAGTGGCTGCAAAATCAGCCTTGAAAGAAGACGAGCTGTAGAAAAAGTTTGCTTTTCCTTTCAATAGTGAAATAAAGTATCTTCTTATCTGATTTCCATGTTGCTGTTGTAAGTCTCCATAATTTTGAAATTACTTATAAATCTTGGGTCAGTAGCTTGCACCAGAATATGTGAAGGCAGCATTTGACCAAACATTTTATTTCCTATTTTCCAGTCCCTCAAATCAGGAACAGTTGCACCAGGTCTCTGATAACTCATCTTCTTAATCACTTTGCACCCTTATATTTAAATTTCATTCCTTTTCAGAGTGAGATTCCAATCAGTTAAATCAATAGGACTCTGCACAGCTGTAAGGGTTCAACTATGTGAATTTAACTGCATGATCAGGACCTAAATCCCAATGCAGGGAGATGGACTGTGTGTGCTAACATCATTTACATCCATTGTCTGCATCACTCACATTCTTCAGCAGAAATTCCCAGGGGATTGGAAAATCAAGGAAAAATCAGCTCTATTAGTAATTTAAATATCGTGGAGACTTGAAAGCAGTAGCAGTAGTATGGTGAGAACAGTGGGCTATTCCGAGCTACACACGGGAGATTTTCAAGGTCGATATTAAAAAAATACATAGCTAGCAGTCTCGTCGCAAAATGCTCGTGCCAAAAAGTGTCCCAGGCTGGGGCAGGCAGCTCAAGTAAAAATGCATGAGCAAAAGCGCCGGCGGGGCAGAGCAGGTAAGTTTGTGTGGAGGACACGGTTTGCAAGGGGCATTATTCACCCACGAACCTCAGGCCTCTCTGGCTGCCTGGCCCGGGTCCCCCTCCCACCTACGGGCCGCGGCTCGGCGCTGGCTGCAGCGCGGGCTCCCTCAGGCGGCCGCCCGGAGACTCCCTCTGCCTCCCGCCTGCGGCACCTGGGCCCGGGGAGGAGGAACCTGCAACCGCCTCCGCCGCTGAGACGCAACCCGCGCCCAGGTAACTGCCGCCTGCCTGGCCTCTGCGGCCTCCCGCGCTGCGCCCTCCTGCCCGGGGCGAGGGGGAGCGGCCGCGGCAAAGGCTCCCCTCTGTCCCCGGGCCGGGCAGGTTCCCCCGGGGGCGGCGCTGCTTTCAGGCGCCCCGGTGACGACAGCAGCAGCGGGTTTGAGCTCCTCTCCCCCCGCTGCCAGGGCCGTGGGGGCCCATAATCCCGCTCGGGGCGCCCCTGAAGCCCCGGACTGCGCTGGGGTTACAGGAAGGGGGGTTTAGCTCCTGCCCCCTTCACCCAGGCAGCACGACCGTGTTGCTTGCACGTGTGGGTAGTCACTGCCCACCTCTCCTGTAAAAACATGGGAGCCACACCAGCTTTGCCCGAGACCGGGTGACAGCACACAGGGGCAAACACTTCACCGTTTCCTCCCCCGTGCATGTTAGGACACTAGGAAAATGACCCACTGCTGAAGCAGTTTAACTGGTAGCCTGGCTGGAGGAGGAAGCTGATTCACTCGCATGATAGAGATAATGTTCTGCTGTGATAGGGTTGAAAACGATTTGAGTCCATATACATGAGCAGGTGAATTCTTTTCAGCATTAATTGAAGCCAGGCAAGGTGTTGCTGTCAGCTATTGTCAGCAACATGTATTTCCCCAGAGTAGATGAGGCCTATGGGTCCTCTGTTCCTCCTTGCACTCTTCCTAATATTTTTTTAATATTTAGACATCTTTAAGTTGTACACTAGAGCCTCTTTCTGTCCAATGATTGGGTATATTCCAATAATTGTAGAAATTATTTCTGTTAATGGATTTCATCCTCATAGATTAGTTTTAGCAAATTTATCAACAAAAATTGGAGGCTTGTAGCTTTCCTGTGCAGGGATCATTAATACCTCCTGATGCTCAGGTCCCAGGTCAAATCTAGGGCCAAATAACTTTTTAGTCATGGACATGACTTATATAGTATATGAGCCATTTTGCTGAGGGCTATTTGCAGTTCTCAGCTCTAACAATACCAACAGAAATGTGAAAAGTAAATAAAAAATTCACCAGTTATACTAATTCATTTTCAGTACAATGCTGCAGGTTTGAGGTACAATCCTGCAAACACTTAACTGAAAATAACTTGTGTTAGTAGAAGCAATTAATCGTGTGAGTAAAGTTATTCACATGTGTATTTGCATGAGTCCGCTCATTAAGAGCATATGGCAACCTAATACCCTCAGTGGTTTTTGTTTTGTTTCCCTTTCCTAGCTAGGTTTGTCAAATTCTTTCTCTGCTCATCTACAAGTCATGGGATCTTTGGAAATAATACTTTCATTTCTACAACTGAAACCATGACCTACTAAATGCTTCTAATTTGTCTTTTGTTTACGTTGACCGTCCGCAGACACGGTCCCCCCGCATCAGCCCGCCGCTTCCTGCAGCTCCCGTTGGCCGAGAACAGCGGACCACGGCCACTGGGAGCTGCGGGGCGCCGTGCCTGCAGATGGTCAAGGTAAACAAAATGTCTCGCAGCCTGCCAGCGGATTGCCCTGATGGGCTGCCTGCTGAAGGTTGCCAACCCCTGGAGTAGAGTATTAGAGACTCTCCCGTTTTCTCCTAGCAGCCAGAGGAGGGATGGCTGTGTGGAAGAGGCTCTTCACATTTCAGTACTACTCATCAGAGGATATAGTAGAACCTCAGAGTTGCAAACACCAGAGTTGCAAACCGACCAGTCAACCACATGCTTCATTTGGAGCCAGAAGTATGCAATCAGGGAGCAGCAGAGACAAAAAATAAATAAATAAAAAATGTAAACTACTAAAAAAATGAGAGAGAAAGGTTAAATAAAAGATTTGACAAGGTAAAGAAACTGTTTCTGTTCTTTTTTCATTTACATTAAGATGGTTAAAAGCAGAATATTTCTTCTGCACAGTAAAGTTTCAAAGCTGTATTAAGTCAACATTCATTTGTAAACTTTTGAAAGAACAACCATAATGTTTTGTTCAGTGTTACAAACATTTCAGAGTTACGAACAACCTCCATTCCTGAGATGTTCATAACTCTGAAGTTTTACTACATTATGAATAATGGAGTCCCCAGATTTGCTGGCAGGAATCCTAGCACCCTTCCTCTTCTCAGCTATAAGAGTGATAGCTATACTGGCCAGGATGTTTTCCCTGCAGCTCATTGGTTGAGGGAGAATTTTGTGTCAGCCTCTGCCAGTAGGTGTCAGTTAATTTTTTCAAGCCCTTGTTATAATATTGCTACAATAATGACATTTTATCTGATGGAGTGGCTTTTCTGGGCTTGTGGATAAGCTTTGTGATCAGGTATACATCCCACTATGGGTATGTCTATACTTACGCGGTAGTTCGACGGCTGGCTATCGAACTTCCGGGTTCGATTTATCGCGTCTGGTCTGGACGCGATAAATCGATCCCGGCAGTGCTCGCCGTCGACTGCGGTACTCCAGCTCGGCGAGAGGAGTACCGCGGAGTCGATGGGGGAGCCTGCCTGCCGCGTGTGGACCGCGTCTGAACCGCGGTAAGTTCGAACTAAGGTATGTCGACTTCAGCTACATTATTCACGTAGCTGAAGTTGCGTACCTTAGTTCGAATTGGGGGGTTAGTGTAGACCAGGCCTATGTGTACTATATGTAAAGTATTCAAAACGTTATAAAATATTATCTATATGTATACATTCACATAGGTTAAAATATGTAACATTCTTTTAAAATATTTTGAGCAATTTAAAATTTCCACATGTGAGGCAGTTTTTGTGGTCTACATAACAGCCAGGTATTATTATTATTAATATTTATTTATTTACATTGTTGCACTTTGTTGATTGGCCATCTCTGAAACATTAGGAGGGACATTGCTTAGCAATAACCCTGCTCCCCTTGTGGTGATCAGCATCAGTGGAATGACGTATGTTTTGGCTAAGGGGAGAACCCAGGCAGAAGTAGAAGGACAAATAGAAGGTGACCTGAAAAGAGTATATCTATCTATCTATCTCAGTGGTTCTCAAACTTTTGTTTCACACAGCAAGCCTCTGAGTGCAACCCCCCCCCCTTATAAATTAAAAAAACACTTTTTAATATATTTAACACCATTATAAATGCTGGAGGCAAAGCGGGGTTTGGGGTGGAGGTTGACAGCTCATGACCCCCCATGTAATAACCTCGTGACCCCCTGACGGGTCCCGACCCCCAGTTTGAGAACCCCTGATCTATCTATCTATCATTAATGTGTAAAGTAAAATTGATTTCACTTATTTTTCAAATGAGTGAAAATTTTGAAATTTAAGCCCCAATCTTGCAAGTTACTCTATTTAGATAGACCCTGAAGCTGTGCAGAACACCATTGATATCAGCAGGGCTCTGCATGGAGGTAGAGGTCAGCTTTTGTGCACTGCATTGCAGACTTAGAGGCTTTGTTATTAGCACTATTTTCAAGTTTTACACTGTTTCTTGTATATGCAATACTGCAGTTGTGTACATAGCAAGTGAGATTGCCTCTAAGCCACTAAAAAGGGGATTTTAAAAAATGCAAATTGTTAAGAACCAGAGAATGACGATCACAGCATGACGTCCCTTCTATGGTTCATACCAGTTTTATAAACCTTTTGCAAGTATTTTCACTAGAGTGCCAATAAATAGTTCTGCCTATCAGCAGAACTGCTACTGGTACAAGCATTAGATTTGGTTTCTTGTTTCTTGTTTCAGGTCAGTTCTTTTGTGGAATTATCTCAGAAAAACAGAATTGATACAAGAACCATGTAGAGCAATAAGAGTACACGTTTGCTTTTAATACTTTCTGAGTTCGCTTGTGTTGTGAATTCTGTATTTTCATGTACTCCACTCTTCTAAATTTTTCATTTCTGTATTTGTCTTTTGTCATTCTTGGCTTCTGTAGTTAACATTTTTTCTTATAACAAGTGTGAATGTAAAGGAACTATTTTTTTTCTTTTCCACTAGTGTTTGCTCTGTACCAAATCATTACCAGGCCTGTGTTGATCCTGTGGGAACTTCTTTTTTTGCCCCACATGTGAGTCTTGGTTGAAAGCGGTAAAGTGACAACCTGCTCTTCTTCCCATTCCTCAGCCGGAGGAGGATGCTGGGAGAGAGCTTTGAATTGATCAGACATCCACAACAGATCTATGGAACATCCAGCAGGATGAGCTCCCACCACCCTGGTTTTTTCCAGCAGTGAAGCTGCGGCTTAGGGTGGGAGTTACGTACAGCATCTTGTCAGGGTAGTTTTACTACAGGATGGTAAACTTTGCTGTTGGACTCCTCACCTCATTTTTTGTGTCTGCCCCTGGCTAGTAGGTATCTGGTAATATGTTAAGCCACGGTCTAATTACTAGATTTCTTTTAAAGCACTATTTTTTGTTAGGCTCTCTGATAGAGTGTTTATTTACTGGGCAGGACTGTAAAGCTTTATCTTGTACACACACACACACACACACACACACACTCTCCCTTCTTGTAGAGACTTTATTTATGTTTTAAGATCATTAATAATTAGATGCGAAACTTTGAATTGTGTTAACAAGCGCTGTACACCTCTGTCTTTCCTGGGAACCATCTGAAAATACATCTCACTGTTTTTTAAACAGCTTGTGCCTTGGACTTGTATAAATACTAGTGCCTATTGTTGTCTGTTTTGCAGGCTTATTGTGACATTGTAATGTTGGGAAGGTCTGCACTGCTTACAGCTGTACATGGAAGAAGGTAGCGTTCTGAAGCTATTATAGCTTCTTGTATATTTTTGATCACTATCGCATATTCCAATGTCTTTGGATTTATTTGATATTTAATTTGGAAATATTACAGATACAGTAGTCTTCATCTTTTCACTGTAATATTTCCTCAAACTCTGTATTATTTTATAGCTTAGAAGATAGGAGGTTTCTGAAAATGACACATCTACCTGCTGTGTAGCATGTGTTCTGAATGACAGTCTGGTACTTGTTAACTCATCTCTGACATCTTAATAAAAGGATGAATCCATTTCATTTGCCTCTTGTCCAGTACATTAGCCCTGTTGTACTTTCTAGGTCAGTTCTCCGGTGAGATACTGGGCTGAGTAATCAAACCAGATCTTTGATTCTTAGACAGGAGAAGTAAAGAAAATATGCTGAAAATAATGTTTATTTTTTAATCTTAAAACAAAAGATACTTCAAAATTGTAAAATATTAATTATAAAATAATATAAATTAAAGATGAAATTGGAGAACTCTTGGGAGAAAGTAGGGAGGTCCTGGAAACAGTGCAGAGACACAGAGCCTTTATGGGTTGATCCCTCTGGCAGATGCAGACATACACAGGTTTTTGAGTTTGAACCGTCAGCACTATCTGTAGGGGCATGTGCCCCTGCTAGATGGAAGAAGGTTGAGGAGATTCTGAGTTCAGACTCACAAAGTTTCTTTGTCCTGATAGGGGAATAACCAACATAGCAGAGAGTGTGGCCCATAATTTTTAAGCTGACTGTCCTTTAAGACCCGATTTTGAATTGACTGGGATTTTGCCTTAGCAACACAAAGTCTGTATACTGAATCTATAGTCACACTGTCATTCAAAGCAAAGGGCTCTGTTGGTCAATGTTTTTTGTACTTGTGCTTTTTTTCAGTTTAATGCAATTTCTCTGTGGTCCAAAGTGTGTGTTGTTTTCACAGTATTAACAAATAAGATTACTGTATGCATACTGATTTCTAGGCAGAGGTTTGACCAAGCTGTGTACTTGAGATAAAATTTAAAATATAAATTATTTTACTAGGCACCTAATACTCATGGAATTCTAGGATTCTTATATTAAAAAAAATAGCATTGCATTAAAAACAAAAATAACACTTAGTAAATGTCATTTGATACAATAGATTTACAGTGTAATATGTGAATTTAAGTATCAGTCATGTGCCTAAAGATTTTTGATGGTCACATCTAAATTCAAATAAAGAAAAAAAAAAATGAAAATAATTTCATTTCAGTTTCACATAAATGTCAGTAGTGCTTATTGTTATGAAAACAAAACCAAAAAAATCTTAGCACTTATATAACACTTTAACTTCATGAAGATACTAAAGTTAAACACAACCTTGACATTATGGATATAAGTAACTGTAATGGTCTAAGTTAAGTCAAAGAAATAAAAGCTAGGCTGTGCAAGATGGCTTAATTGTGCTATATAAGCATTTCTTTACTTTTGTTTCATAGAATCGTAGGACTGGAAGGGACCTTGAGAGGTCATCTAATCCAGTTCTGGGCTGGTGATCAGTAGTGCCATGCATTGTTCTGTGGAAGATCTGGTTCCATTTTCCTTTTCCAGTCTGTTGCTTCCTGGGCTTAGTGGGACAGCAAGCCCTCTCGAAGAATAGTGGCTACATGATAGGCTCTGGGGGCAGATGGGAGAATGAAAAACAGCTGGAAAACAGGGCGAGGGGATCCTTTGGTTTGGACAGTCCTGCAGAGGTTCAGTCTCTTCCTCTAAAGATAGAACTATCAGACAAAGATAAAATTTACTGTGGCTACTGTCATCAGAATGAAAAATCCTTGAACTAAAGTTAGCAGAATATGTATGAAGTGATTTAAAAAACTTTAAATTTAAAATGATTTAAAGTCCAAAATTGTGACTATTAATTTTGATATTTTGGTTTCTGAAGCTCATTTTGGCTTTCCTTTTCTGCATGCCGATTTAGTGTGATTTCTAAGGATAAATGTGTGTTTACCAAATGTGCTTTTTGTCACTGTTAGATTTCCAACTCGAGACCTATGTGCTGCTACTCATTTTCCAATGAAGTACATCCTGGTAACCGGTGGTGTCATCTCAGGCATTGGCAAAGGAATCATTGCAAGCAGCATTGGCACCATACTGAAATCATGTGGTCTACGAGTCACTGCAATCAAAATTGATCCTTATATTAATATAGATGCTGGAACTTTCTCACCGTATGAGCATGGTATGAAGAGTGATGCTGTTTCTTTTGCATGCATAAGTTCAATGACATTTTATTTTCATAAACAGAATTTAAATGTATAATGTTTTTGAAAAATTATAGATAGATCTTTACTAACAGGTCATCTTGTCCATCTATGTGACAGTGCAGGATTGCTCTCTACTGCATACTTTCAAGTGCATTGTCTAGTTTAATTTATGATAACTCAAGTGAAAGGGCTTCTACCACTTTGGCTGGCAAGTTATTCCACAGTTTAATAGACTGCACTGTTAGGAATTTTCCCCTGATGTTCACTTTGCCTGATCTTTGTCTAACTTGATAGGTAAAGCATTTGATATAGTGCCCTCCAAAAATGTTACTTGAAAAATTAATTCATAGTCACTTGCTTATGAATACTAACTACCATCCAGAGTGAAAACTAGATAACAAAAGGAAATGACGCATAATATGGGGATATAGAGGTATGGACTGCTGTAGATATTGGTGTTAAATGTGGTTTTATTTAATGCCATCAGTAGTGAACAATACATGGTAAGGTTAAGCAACAATTAGTTCAGTTCAGGTTATACCTAATTTGAAAGTTGTGTGAACACTTGTGAAGACAGAGAAATAACACAAAGGGGTCTAGAGAGCCTGGAAATAACAATATGAGAATCAGCTTGGAAATATAAACTATGATACAATGAGAGCAACAAATCTGAACATAGATATTTAGGGGGTGGGAACCACTTGGAAAGCAGTGATGCCGTAAGCTCAGTTAGATATGATCTTATAATGCAGTATAGTGATGAAAAGTGGCCAATGGAATTTTGGGCTGCTCTGCCAGAGGCATCACATCATAGAAGTAATAAGGACTCTCTAATACAGGATAGATGAGATAGTACCTAGAATGTGAAATCAAAATCAGTGGGATTGCACAGATGTAACAGATCAGAATTTGACCCACTGTGCCCAGGCACCTCCTCTTTCTCACTGGGCTTAGCACTTCCCCCTCTGGCAGTGGCAGGGCTTGAAGTAAATCAGCCCCACTCCGGATATAGTTTGTCTTCCCACTTTCTGTTTGTTTATCAGTATTTTCAAGGTAGGCCTTGGGGCAGGCCCAAGGAGAGCTCTTCCACCAAACAAAAGAGTCAAATTCACAAACACAAAATAAAGGGAGATACCTTTTCCTGCTGCCTCCCTCTCTGGGGCCATGGGGGTGTTTTCCTTTTATTGGCCCTGGGATGTCAGTCCTTCCCCTAAACAGGCACTCAGATTTGGTTGTTTCCCCTGTAGGGAGGAGAACAGCCTCTCAACCTGGAGAAGCCTGTCTCCCTGTTGCCCCTAGCCTTGCAGCAGCTTGTCTCTCCTCCCCCTCTCTCACCAGAGGAGGAGTTTTCAAAGGTCTGAGGCAACCCCTTCTCAGATTATAAGAAAAAGGGCCTTTATCTTTCTAGGGCTAACATACCTGCCTTCTACCACTCTCTTGCAACAGTCCAGCCTGACTTTGTCATGCCACTCATTTTGTTCTTAGCACCTCAGTACCAAATCTCTGTCAACAAATTGGAGGGTATTCAAAGAGCAACATAAATAACTAAGGGGTCATAAGGCTTACAAGAAGAGACTTAAATAATTAAATACGTATAATTTGACTTTAACAACAAAGTTGGGTCGGTTGACATTTTAAATGCCAGTCCTGTGTAGAGAAGGACTGTCAGAAAGAGATTTGGGTTTGAATGAGGTCAGTTGGATTGAAAACAAGGCAAAAAAGTTCGAACAAGGGCAAGTGTGTATATTATTGGCTAGTGGCTTAGTAAGGATCTACCAACATGTCTTGGTCAAGCTCTTAGACAAAACTCCTATATCCTTCTGATATCCTAAAACATCTAGGAGAGAGGGAGGTTGAACCTGACACCTCAGACATGAATTAAATAATACAAATTAGAATAGATTGGCTGGGACAAATTCATCTAGATGTCAAAAGCATGTGGCTATGCTGCTAACCAGCCAGCTTTGGAAAGCATTCCACAAGCCACTAGCGTTAGTTGAAAGTGTACATTTTAGTCTCTCACAGAAAACTGGAGTTTTGTAAATGTTTAGGAGTTGAAGTTTTAAAGCTCTTTTGATTACATACAATTCTCCATACTTCTTGTATGGAGTCAATCATGATGAGTGAAAAAAAATTGCAGATGAGTTATCCAAATCTTACGTGGTCAAGGTCCAGATTTATAAAGGAAAACACTACTTGCATCAATGCCACATCATTGATTTGCTCATCATAAAATAAGTTGTGCACAGCATTCAAAAATATACGTCCTGCCAATAGTAGTATTTTAAATTATGTTGCTTAGGCAAATTCTGACTGTGGGTCTTTAGTCTACCCTGCAGCTTTTGGAGGCAGAGACAAACTTGTTGGCTTTGGATGCAGGCTTAGCTTCTCCCACTGAAGCTAAGCTACTCCAGTTCTTTTTGTCTCCAGAGCTTCAAGGGCTGAAAATGAACCAAAACAATTTCAATTGTATATCTAAAACACGATATGTTAATATGATCTACAAAACTTCATTGCAAAGGTTTTCCCCTTTTGCAGGCCAGTCCCCCTTGCTATGGCAGAACAAATGCCAAAAGAGCCCAGAGGTAAAAAGTGCCTCAATTGTTTCTCTTTGCTCCTAAAGTGAAGTGTATTGAGGGACTGTAAAGAGGTGTATTTTTGCATCAGAAAAGATGGGCTCTATACTCGGGAGACAGATCTGAGGCCAGAAAAGACACTTGAACTCTCTTCCTGACCGGCAGCTGATAAAAGGGAAAAACCTATAATGAAAAGGATAAGGGTGACCTTGCTCCCAAAGTGAAGCAGGAGCAGTGCACCAAACAAACCAAATGTAGCCCACCCAAAGGACTTCAGGCCTCCAAAATGGCCACAATGGGTATGTCAGAGGAGAATGATAGAACCCTCCATCAGAATCACGGTCAGCTGCACAACCAATGCTGGGTATGTCTCCACTGCAGCTGAGAGTGTGCCTCCCAGCCTGGCTAGACAGACAAACACTAGCTCTGCTTGAGTTAGCACACTAAAACTAGCAGCATGGATGTTGTGACACGGGCAGCGACATGGGCTAGGCATCTGAGTATGATCCTGCACAACCCCCACAGGGTCCATACTTCATAGAATATCAGGGTTGGAAGGGACCTCAGGAGGTCATCTAGTCCAACCCCCTGCTCAAAGCAGGACCAATCCCCAACTATTTCATCCCAGCCAGTGCTTCGTCAAGCCTGACCTTAAAAACCTCTAAGGAAGAAGATTCCACCACCTCCCTAGGTAATCCATTCCAGTGCTTCACCACCCTCCTAGTGAAAAACTTTTCCCTAATATCCAACCTAAACCTCCTCCACTGCAACTTGAGACCCTTACTCCTTGTTCTGTCATCTGGTACCACTGAGAACAGTCTAGCTCCATCCTCTTTGGAACCCCCTTTCAGGTAGTTGAAAGCAGCTATCAAATCCCCCCTCATTCTTCTCTTCTGCAGACTAAACAATCCCAGTTCCCTCAGCCTCTCCTCATAAGTCATATGCTCCAGCCCCCTAATCATTTTTGTTGCCCTCCGCTGGACTCTTTCCAATTTTTCCACATCCTTCTTGTAGTGTGGGGCCCAAAACTGGACACAGTACTCCAGATGAGGCCTCACCAATGTTGAATAGAGGGGAATGATCACGTCCTTCGATCTGCTGGCAATGCCCCTACTTATACAGCCCAAAATGCCGTTAGCCTTCTTGGCAACAAGGGCACACTATTAATTCATATCCAGCTTCTCGTCCACTGTAACCCCTAAATCCTATTCTGCAGAACTGCTGCCTCGCTATTCGGTTCCTAGTCTGTAGCAGTGCATGGGATTCTTCCATCCTAAGTGCAGGACTCGGCACTTGTCCTCATTGAACCTCATCAGATTTCTTTTGGCCCAATCCTCTAATTTGTCTAGGTCCCTCTGTATCCTATCTCTACCCTCCAGCATATCTATCACTCCTCCCAGTTTAGTGTCAACTGCAAACTTGCTGAGGGTGCAATCCACGCCATCCTCCAGATCATTAATGAAGATATTGAACAAAACCGGCCCCAGGACCGATCCTTGGGGCACTCTGCTTGATACCGGTTGCCAACTAGACACGGAGTCATTGATCACTACCCGTTGAGCCCGACGATCTAGCCAGCTTTCTATCCACCTTATAGTCCATTCATCCAGCCCATACTTCTTTACCTTGCTGGCAAGAATACTGTGGGAGACCATATCAAAAGCTTTGCTAAAGTCAAGGAATAACATGTCCACTGCTTTCCCCTCATCCACAGATCCAGTTATCTCGTCATAGAAGGCAATTAGGTTAGTTAGGCATGACTTGCCCTTGGTGAATCCATGCTGACTGTTCCTGATCACTTTCCTCTCCTCTAAGTGCTTCAGAATTGATTCCTTGCGGACCTGCTCCATGATTTTTCCAGGGACTGAGATGAGGCTGACTGGCCTGTAGTTCCCCAGATCCTCCTCCTTTCCTTTTTTAAAGAAGGGGACTACATTCGCCTTTTTCCAGTCATCCGGGACCTCCCCCGATCGCCATGAGTTTTCAAAGATAATGGCCAATGGCTCTGCAATCACATCCGTTAACTCCTTTAGCACCCTCGGATGCAGCGCATCTGGCCCCATGGACTTGTGCTCATCCAGCTTTTCTAAATAGTTCTGAACCACTTCTTTCTCTACAGAGGGCTGGTCACCTCCTCCCCATACTGTGCTGCCCAGTGCAGTAGTCTGGGAGCTGACCTTGTTCATGAAGATGGAGGCAAAAAAAGCATTGAGTACATTAGCTTTTTCCACACCCTCTGTCACTAGGTTGCCTCCCTCATTCAGTAAGGGGCCCACACTTTCCTTGACCTTTTTCTTGTTGCTAACATACCTGAAGAAACCCTTCTTGTTACTCTTAACATCCCTTGCTAGCTGCAGCTCCAAGTGTAATTTGGCCTTTGTGATTTCACTCCTGCATGC